TAACTATTATGGTAGCATCACAAAAGTACACAACACTGACAAGTAATAAAACACGGAGGGAAGCAAGTAAAAGTGAAGAACATAGCAGACTGGCCGTATGTCGTCTGTTTGGTTGATGATGATTATTCAGAATCACATGAATATAGTCTACATACAAATACTTAAAATGTGAAAGACATATATTATCATAAGCAACTATTAAAATATAAGCCTTAATGTAGAGAAGTAATAGGCTAACAAAGTTCATTTTCTAGTCTAGCCTCACAATATACTAACTAAATGTATATTACAAAAGAGCTCACTACTAAAGTGGGCCGATCATGACTTCTTTGTGACCAACAGAGTGTGGACTGAGTCATCTCTAGAAGCTCGGATCCACTAACATCAGTTATATCACCTAAATCCAAGTTAATAATTAAAAGAATTACAAGACAAGAAAAAGAGAGAAATACCAAGGAAAAGGGAAACAGAACTAAGAAAAAATGCTTCACATACAAAGTTAGACTATCATGATACATTCTTTGGCAAGGAAAATAAATAATTAAACTAAAGAACAAGTGCTCTCTATCATCTCTAGGAACAGCTTCAACAATCCCAAAAAGGACTCAATCAGCCAACAAAGTGGATGACAAGGAGAAAATGCAATATGATGATAATTCCTCGAGAACATATGAAAAAAGATATAATTCTCTACTAACAGCTAAAAATAACCAACACGGCATTGGATCAAGTACTGCTCTAAGACCATGTGAGAAAAGGACGAACACAAGACAAACAACCATTTCCTGAATTGTTGTTTTGGATCAAACTGTAATTGTGTGTTTAAGGGAAAACCTCATGCTCTTTAACACTCTAAACATGCAAATAAGAAGAAAACAGCAGATCCATACACTGGAAAGACAAGTCGAAAATAGAATATAAAGCAAGACAAGTAAATCATTTTTAATTTTCTTAAATAACAAATCTATGTATTGAAACAAAGTTAAGGAAACCAAAGATGTCAGCTTTCTAGGATTTGGAGCCTCTCCATCATGCTTTGGCAGTAAAAAGGCCAAGATCTTAACTATAATCACCCAAGATAGATGTGATCCCTGCTTAACATAACTGACATAGTAGCCCAATAAATTGTTATAAATTCCCAATTTTCAGTCAAGAACAAATCACATTATGAAGTAAGTAGTCTCGCAAACCACATAATATCCATGTAATAGCAAGTAAAAATGCCAGAAAAAAGTTGGCATCAAAGTCAATCTTAGTCAAAATACTGCTAAAGTTACAACTCTTCATATCTAACTCATTAATCAAAAGGAAAGGAATATACTTAAATTATTCAAATAAACAACTAGTTTCAATGACAGCCACCAAAATAAGCAAATGGAAAAAACAGAACTTTTAGCAAATGTTGTATATCGACAAAATGACAAAGAATAGCAAATAAGTTTCAAAAAAAACTGAGCTACTTACTAATATCCATCCCTGAGACCACCAAATTTCTCTTGACCAGCTGTATCCCAGCAATAAAACCTGATCTTCCCACAGTTTGTGAAGAAATCCAAGGGATGAACTTCAACCCCAATCGTCGCTGCAAAAATAAAAAACAATATCATATCTAAAAAATTAAACCCGCAAAAAAAAAAAAAGTTGATGCCATATGCAATGAATACAAAGATGCTTACGCTCATATTTCTTCTCGAATTCACCAGTGAGATTAGCCTCTTCACAAATGTAGTGTTCCCTACATAATAGATTGGAGATAAAAAAAACTTTAAATTTTATTCAAAAAAATTCCCTGAAACTGATGCATAAAAGCATAAACCATAAGATCCAAGATCAAAATTTTCTCACCAGTTCCACCATCGCCGACGAGGACGAGCTTGAAGCTGGGGTAATCAACAGTCTGCTGATTGGGCAACGCCTACAACGAACAAAATCAAGATCAATCAAAAATTGGGCACAGAACCCTAACTCTAATTCAATAAAGCGAGATAGATGAAGAATCTACCATTAGATCGTCTCGGATCTCAAATTCTCAGATTGAACGTAGGAGAAAATTGAGAGGGTTTATAGAGATGTCTGTGGTTGAAACCCTAGGAAAAGGTTTTTATTTTTTATTTTTGGGCTGCTGTGAACGAACGCGACTTTCTGGACCGTTGGATTTTTCACGATGGTCGGCGGATGCTGATGAGAATACAGTACTTTCGGGTGTTTGAAAATGGGCCGCTAGTCATAATCTGTTAACAAGAGTCTTTGTCTTTTTCCTCCAAGTATGGCCCATTAGTTTGGGCCGTAGTACAGCACATTGTTTACTTTGTTTATATTTTTTGACAAAATGATTTGGTATGAACTTTGAAGTTCGGCATACTTGGGGACGCAAGGAAAGAAATATCCGCATGTGCGGATGTACTTGTAATCGTATCTGTGCATGTTAATGATATAGGATACAAATATGAATACTAGGATATGATTGTAGATACATATTTGTAAAGAAATATATAGATGCACATCCAAAATATCTTAATATGTGTCAATCGTACATTTGCAATTAGTTTAATCCTTGTAATAATGAATTCGAGATTAATTTTGATAATCGAGATATCTAATTATATATTTTCAGATATAAAGAACATTAATGAACTCTCTCATGTCATATGAATTATATTTTTTTTCTAATATTATTTGGTTTTCTCATATCTATTTTGTATCAGCATGTATATCTGCATATGTATATCAGCATTTATGCTTTTATATGTATCTGATTTTATCGAATATTTATATGAGCTCCTTACAAGACATCTTTGTTTTTAAATTTTTATTTGTAATTGGCAAACGGATACAGATTTCATAAGTATCATGTCCAAACTGTTTGCACCCTTAGGCATGCATCATTGAAAGGTAGAGGAGGAATCGTACTAAGTTTTTTATATATTGGTCCCTTATATTTTAATATCTTGAATCTCAGATAACTCTCTTTCTTCTATCCCATTTTGGGATAACCTCCTAACACCTTAAAAATGACACTTGACTCGTCGTACGAGCACCTTTGATTGCGAGATTACCAAAAGTGTATTTCAGAAGAAAACAGCAAAACACAAGAACAATTCGATATGTAGAAGGAAAATATCTTCTCTAGATTATGAAGATTAATTGTTGACAAATCTCTCCTCACAATCTCTCTAGAACAAACCTCTCTATGCTCACAACTCACGGATTTTTCTCCCCTTAACAATGGGTTTCTATTTATACAAACCCTAAAAGCTAAACCTGCTAGGAAACAGATTTCAGCCCAAACCCGATATCAGGCAAACTGATGTTCGTTCATCAATTGACTGATGAACCCCGTCGGTCGACTGATGAACACGTCAGTCGACTGATCGCGAACATGCACAACTTCATCGGTCGACTGATCCTCTTAATTAGTCGACTGATGAGCCCGTCGGTCGACTAATCACCTATCAGTTGACCGAGCAAAAACTTTTCATGATTTCAGGCGTTTTCATCTGTCGACTGACGAACTCGTCGATCGACCGATAAGTAATTTTCTGCCAGCTTCGAAATTACAATCGTACAAACCAGTCTGCGTTCGCCAACAATATTTTTCAAGCTTCTATTCTCAAGCTACCATGAGAATCCTCTATTCTCAAGCTCTCATGAGGATCGCTAAGTTCCTGAAGTAGATAAGATACACCCGTATCATGAAGTCCCGTTCAAGTTAGAACTGCAGCTGAGGAAACTCGTGAGCTCCTCCCTCTTTGTTGAACCACTTGGCCTTGCTAGGAACCTGACCTTGACGCCTAACCAGAAATCACTCCTTTGTCTCCCGCCTAGTCATAGTCACCTTCCGTTCCAAAATGCAATCCTCTTTCAGCGGTTCTTCTCTATCAAACCACAAGTCTTCAACATGTGGCAAGATCACTTTGTCGTCACCCTCATCATCCAGCAATGGAGGCTCGAACAATTTCAAGTATTCGGTATTGATTACCGAAAATATGCCTAAGTAAGGTGGCAAATCCAGCTTAAAGGCGTTATCCCTGATCTAATCAAGAATCCGAAATGTACCATATCGTATAGACTTCAACTTCTTCCCTTCTTCCTTTAGCCGCTCCTTACCTAACTTCAGTCACACCATGTCACATTTGCCGAAATTACAAGGAACTCGATGTTGATCATATTTCGCCATGTACTTTGCTTGTGACTTCTTCAATTATGCTTCAGCAGCAGCGTGAATTTGGGCAATCTTCTCTAGAAATCGTTGAGCCTTCTGTCATTCACTCCCTTCTTTGCCGTCGGTCGTAGCTTCACTAGAGAATACTAGATCGAACGGATTTGGAGGTAGGAACCCGTAGCAAGTCTCAAACGGTGACTTTCCCGAAGATCCGTGAATAACCCTGTTGAAAGCAAAGTGAAGATATAGTAAGCTCTCATCCCAACTCTTGGGATACCTGGAATTATACCCCCCACAACATGTGAACCATAGTCTGGTTGACTACTTCTGTCTGCCCGTTTGTTTGTGGATGAAAGGCCATGCTTTTCTTCAATCTATGTCCATCAAACTCCACAAGGAATCCCAAAATGCACGAGGAACCTGCCATCCTAATCCAAAATAATCGAACTCGAAAACCAAAGTACTTCCACACATTCTCAAAGAACAACCGTGCTTCACCCACTTCCGTCACAGTCTTCTTGTAAGGAATCAATATCACAATCTTACTAAACCGGTCCACTACAACGAATAAGTAATCATGCACGTGCTTGGTCGTTGGCAACCCTCCTAATAAATTCATAGAAATACTCTCCCATGGTCTAGAAGGTACTGGCAATGGTAGATACAATCTCCTCTTTCTGTTAGAAGGCTTCGATATGCAACATAGCTTACACGCTCCAACATACTTGGCAACATCCTCTATCATTTTGACCAAAAGACATGGCGTCGAAGATTGAGAAGCGTCTTCTGAATCCAAAAATAACCTTGCACACGTGATGTATGTGCCTCTCTAATCCACTACAATCGATCGCCATCCTCCGGAATGCAAATCGATATCCCATGATATAACAAACCATCTGCTCCGAGCTCATACTCCCCCTTCCGACCAGCCTTCACCTGTGTTTGCATCGGAAATCTTTTTCATTGCTAAATCTATTACACGTTTATCGTCTTATAGATTTAAAAAAAAAGTTAGTCTTTTTATAAGACTTTCTTACACAATGAAAATTAACAAGGGGATCTCCTAGAAACACACATATGATCAGTTATCGATCGCTTCTTGCGTGAGATCTTTGCCTGTGTCGGGGACGCTTTAGTCCGTGGACCACCAAAAAAAATCAGATCCGGTTGATCGGAACGAAGGCTCGCTGTTCTTGTTTTATGAAAGAGACAAGAACAGAAGTAAATATCTCGACAACGCGAGATAAATACTCTTCTTAAGATCAAATCAATGTTTGATCCCAAGGAAATGACTAAAGGATGCTGAGGGGCTTCAGATCTTTCAAAATCTTCCTCTTTATGCTGAAGTTCATTGAGATCTCGCTAGACTCTCTCTGAAATTCATGGGTCTGCTCTCACAGGGTCAGCACCTCACCTCCAAGCTCCAAAAATCAGATATCTCGTGTATAAGGGCCATAGGGGTGTCTTTATAGGCTTCAGATGCTGTGTTTTTGGATAAGAATTCATGATTTAATCATATATTTAGTTAATAATGGCTTAACCACGTTTAGAGATGATCTCAAGGCAGTTAGGGAGGTAGTAGATTGAACGAATCCTGATAAAAATATCTGAAAATACATCATTGGGAACTTCATTGTGCGAGTCGCCTCAATGTAACTCGGCACTGTTCCGAGTCACTTCGAGGTGACTGGGATTTTTTGACTTTCCAGTATTGGCTTTACTTTTCTTGTTCAACCTCAGAATGAGGTGATTCAATCTGCGTTGGAAAGTTGACAAAGAGACCTACTACTTTTTTCTTTTGAGATTTTTCGGATTCAAATTGCATCATGGTAGAAATTTTAGTTCTTCATACTCATGTATCCATTCTCTTCTCGAACCATACATTCTAAATCTCGTTGTTGCTTTGTCGCTTCGTCACTTCATATCTGAATGATTCTCTCTGACTCGGGTGATGACATTCATCGCCTTCCCTTCTCTCAAGCTGTGTTCCGGGAACCTATAAGTTTGGTCCAATAGTTTTGGCGAGGTTCGATCAGTTCCGACGAACTTCAGAATATGTTGCGAAGAACGGGTCATAACTTTCAAATCGTAAGTCGGAATTGGATAAATTATATATAAAAATTGTCTATCTCGATGAGACGGGACCAACCAAACCCATCAAAGTTTGGTTTTCCACCATCTGTTTTACCAAATTTCCTACAGTATGAGAGATATCGGTATTTTCGTTAGTTTTGAGGTTTTTTGCAATCTATAGGCAATTTTTTATGCCTACAACCTGCTCGAACACACTGCTAAAGTCTCTACTAGATGTGTACATGTACACATATTCCAAAGGCATTAAGGGCTGAATAAGCATCGTCACCAACAAAGCCCTCATTGGCGGTCGAGATAGCATATCAGCCAACTTGTTAGTTGTCCCCTTCTTATACCTAATGACGATGTTGAACGCCATCAAATAGGACATCAACTTCATGTGTCGTGCCTGCTGTAGCTCCGTCTGGACATGTAAAAACTCTAATAGCTTGTGATCCGAGTGTAAAACCACCTGCTTACCCAACAAGTACACCCTCCAATGCTTGATCGCCTGGTAGAGCACATAAAACTCCTTATCGTACGTAGGATAGCTCTGAATAGCACCCATAAATATTTTAGAATGGTACTCCACCAACTTCCTATACTGTATCAACACAGTGCCCATAGCATAACTAGAAGCATCAGTCTTTACCTCGAAGGTCTTCTGTTAATTTGGCAATGCTAATACTAGTGCCTCCGAGATCTTCCTCTTCAGTAACTAAAAAGCCTCCTCATGCGTCCTACCCCACTTGAACTGAACTTTCTCCTTAGTAAGGCCATGTAAGGGTGCCGCATAAGTAGAAAAACATCGGATAAATTTGCGTAAATACTGGCAAGCCCCTATGAAGCTTTGCACCTTCGTTATCGTCCTAGGTGTCGGCCACCTCGTGATAACTTCAACCTTGCTTGGATCTGTCCCCCGCTGGCCCTTTCCTACGATAAAACTGAGATACACTAACTCTTCCTTCCCAATCTCGTACTTCTTTCTGTTAAGCTTCAGCTGACCATCTCGCAACACTTTAAACATCTTCTCGACATGAACAAGATGCTCCTCCTAGGTCCTGCTATACACCAAGATGTCATCGAGGTAAACTATCACATAACCCTCTATAAAAGGCCACAACAAATCATTCATCAACCTCATAAAAGTTGATGGAGCTTTACACAACCCGAACAACATCACCAACCACTCAAATAGACCCTGATTAGTCTTGAACGCTATCTTTCAAGTGTCATCTGTTGGCCTTCTTGTTTTGATGATGACAAACAATTTACAAAAAGGAATATATGCATGAAGAAAATGAACATATACAAGATAATACACATGCATATAAACAAGGAATTGTATACTCACAATATTTCTCCCCCTTTGATAACATCAAAAAGGGAACAAAAAGAAAAAGAGAGCGAAAGCTCCCCCTATCAATAAGCATAGGTGAGTATAAAAACAAACATAGAATAGGGAATAGTTCCCCCTATCAAAATGCCATATAAAATATATGCAATAAAAGATCATGGCAAACATGTGAGCAAGCATAAAAGATATGCTAACAATCACTCACATTCAAACAAGATAATGAGAACACATAATGATATGTCACGATAAATAGGTGTCTCAAAATACAAGCCTAAAACTATGTATAAAAAATAGATTTATGAAATTCAAAGGGAGAAAACATGAGAATCATGCAAATAGTTTTCAAATGAAAACAAATCAACTAAGAGAAATCATAAATCAAAGTTTAAATCCAAAAATGTAAAATCAAATCATCATTGATTCAAAAATCAAGAGAGGCAACTATATCTAGCTCTTGAGCTAGTATCAACCCATATGAACATTTTTAGCACCCGGTAAATAATGTTTGGGAATAAACACCCAATAACTCCGGATGGTTATATAAACACAGTCCTCTCATCAAACAAAAATAATAATCATGAAAACAAAAGATTTTATACAAGAAAAATTGTTTTCATAACCAAAAGATTTTAAAGCATAATTTTCAAAACCAAGATAAAGAAGGATAAAAAACATTAAAATTCTTAGTTTGAAAATCAATTTTGTTTTGGTACCCAAGAACTCTTGGTACCAAAAGATTTAGGGACATGACCCCTATCATTAAAGCTCAAAGCCTTAGGGTTATGAACCCTCTTAGGCACATATGGTGCACTAACATGGTCAAAACAATATTCATTCAAATGACCCTTCTGATTGCAATTTGTGCAATGAAAGAGATCTATTTGTTTTTGTGGACCATTAGCTCGTGCACGGGAATCATTTGCAAATAAGGATTTTCTTATAAAATTATTTTGCAAATGAGAAACATTCTTAAACAATGGTCTATTTGAAACATTTTGCAATTTAGAAGCTTTTTGTACATCAAAACAAAATTTAGCAAGATGTCCAAACCTACCACAAACATCACATTTAAAAACATGTGGTCTATTGGAAGCATTTGTTAAATAAGATTTTCTTTTCAAATCAAAGCAATATTTGGCCAAATGACCAAAACGACCACAATAATCACACTTGAACACACTAGCATGCTTATGATGAACTTTGTGAGAATGAGCATGTGAATGTGTAAGTGTACAAGATGATTTACAAACAATTTACTACTAATGTTGTTTGTCTAGTGTTTTGATTTGTGTAAGTGTACAAGATGATTTACAAACTTGTTTTGATGATGATTTACAAACAATTTACTACTAATGTTTTTTGTCTAGTGTTTGTGCATTCCTATGTATTGTAGACAAACAACGTAGTTGGAGGATGGATGGAATCGAGCATTCACGATCATATCAAATGGAGGTTGGCGGAATTGTGGAGTGAAGCACCATACAATTCAAGTTAAAGATCCAGTTCTGCGCCATAACGACGATATCAAATGGAGGTTGGCGGAATTGTGGAGTGAAGCAACATACAATTCAAGTTAAAGATCAAGTTCAAGCTTCATCCGCAAAGTGTACCAAGTCAAGCTTATTGAAGATCAAGATCGGCTTGGGTAATCTAGTTTAGGTTTTATATTATGTGTGTTAAGTACCTTAAGCTCAATATCATATACACACACGTATTTGGTTTCTATGTATATATATAGTTATATATATACATGCATGGTTTTGGGTTTTTCATGTTTTGAATACTTTTGCAAAATAATGAGATTTCACAATTGGGAAATGCAAATTGGAAAATTCTTTTTGTAACATGTTCAAAATATCATTTGCAAACATTTCTCAAAGTTTCATCAAGTTTAGAATTGATTTGTTATGTTTAAAGGAAATTACAAATTCACGTTTTCGTTCGTGCACATGTTCGTGCATGTTTTACAAAACTAATCAGTTTTCACAAATGGAAAGTGATATTTGAAAAATTCTTTCTCTGACATGTTTATCTACATGTTTAGAAATTGAAAAATTCTTTCTCTGACATGTTTATCTACATGTTTAGAAACTTTCCTCCAATTTTTACTATTTTTAAAGTTTATTTACTGTGCCTAATTGATTTTACAAAATCGTGTATCACAGCAGATTTTCAGAAACTGTATTTCTCTCAACTGGAAAATTTTTTTTCAGAAATTCTTTCTCTAATATGTTTTTATACATGTCTAGAACCTTTCCTCAAAATTTCATAATTTTTGGAGCTGTTTTACTATTTTTAACCGATTTTATAAAATCGGATATACCTGCTTTAGTACCGTCGGTCGACCGAAATTTCCGCCGGTCGACCGAAATTTACCATCGGTCGACCGTTGAGTGTTTTGGTTTTGTGAATCACTTCCACAAGAGCTTGAGGAGATCATCTATTGGTGTTTGAGCATCCAACTCTTCTCCTTCCACTCTTGATCTATTGAGAAGTTTTCTAAACTCAATCTAGCTTCATATTTTATATTGTTTGATTATCTTTTTATTAAGCTAGTGTTCATATTGAGTTTAGTTGATTTTATTATCTCTTTGTTCACACACAACCTATTGAGCTTATTGTATTTACATTCATAGTATAATTTAGGGTTGTGGGTTTGTGACATTGAGAGTGAGCTTAATTGAGTTCTCACCTTGTTTAGAGAACAATCAATTGATTTATATTGTGCTTAATTGTGAGGATTCACTTGTAATACACTTGTACACCGAGAGAAGTGTGTGGTGAGAGACGGGGTCGAATCCAAGAGGAGTGGCGTCGGTTGACGTGCCTAGGGAGAGGTTGTAACCGAGCACTTGAGGAGGAGGACACGGGCTAGGACCAACACTTAGTGTGTGAGGTGTGATTGCATAGTGATTGTATTGTGAGGTGTAAACGTTGTTCGGGTGAACGTAGAAAACCCGGTTGTGATAGTGGAGATCTCCTCGAGGTGAGGAGCGGGGACGTAGGTCGTGGGGACCGAACCTCATAAACATATCCTTTGTTTGTGATTGCATTGGCGCACTTGTTTTCATGTTCATATCTTACATCGTTATTGTGTATTGCTTATTGATCATTTTGCCCTATCACATTTGTAGTTAAATTGTTTACCCCTTGTGTTAGTTTCATATCCTTGCATATATCATAGGATATATCTCTTTGTTGTTCATATTGCTTATCCTAGCTTATATATAGTTGTTATATTTCATACTTGCTAGGATAACTTATTAATTAATTTTAATTGGCATTTAAATCGGATTAGATTAGCATAAGACCCTAATCACCCCCCTCTAGGGTCTAACATCATCCTCCTGAATCCTTACCTGATGATAACTAGACTTAAGATCCAAATTTGTGAAGAACCTCGCTCCCTCTAATTGGTCCAGAAGATCATCGAGCCATGGTAGTGGGTAACAATTATTGACCGTAATCTTGTTGCGCACCCGGTAATCCACACATATGTGCCAGCCTCCATTCTTCGTGGGCACCTACAACACTGGCGACCCACAAGGTGAACAACTCAGTACTATCACTCCTTTTTCCAGAAGCTCCTGCACTTGCCTCTTAATCTCCTCGGACTCCTGTACACATGCGTAGTAAAGACCTATATTTAGAAAGGAACTCTCTCCTGTCAACATAATCTCATGCTCCACACTTCGTCTCGACGGTAGTCCAGTGATCTCTGAAAACAAGTCTGCATACTTGGCTTTCAACCTGTCAAGATCTCCCTCCTGAAACTTGCTCAAGGTAGTCAAGCATACTCTACTTAGCTGCTCCTCGTAAGGTCTAATGAATAGTAAGATGAACTTCTTGCTTACATTCACTAGGCTCTTCGCCTGAGTCACTGTCACCAAACTTGTCCAGTAGAAAAGACGCCGAACGAAATATAAACTGCTTGCTGTCCTTGGTTAATGTGTACTTCTGGACCCACCTATCATAGACTGCATACCTATCCCACAAATAAGGATCCCTAGTATAACCTGACAAACATCCAATAGAATGACATTGTAGGTGACTTCGTCAATATACGACTCGTAGAGTGCAAATCTAAAAGTTCATTGATTAACTACACTCAGCCACGCCTCCTTCTGAATCCACCCTAATAGATAGGGTTTTGGATGCTTGACCATCTTTAGACCCAGCTTCTGAACCAAGGCCTCGAATATCAAGTTCTTCTGGCTACCTGGATCAACTATAGCATCTACCAAGCTGGTCTTCACTTGCAACTTGAAAACAAAGAGCTGCTCTCTGGGGTCTTCATCCTCCTTCGTGGCTTGCTTTCCCTGCTATAAGGTTGAGACTACTATTGGGCTCCATCATCTCTAGAACTTTTTTCGGGTCTTGAGCTATCACGTATGTATTTTTTTCCTCCTTCTTCAACCCCTTCGGTTTGAGATGAGGATACTTCTCCCAACACTGATCAGCAACGTGTCATGTCTACTTGCAGTGATTACTAGTCAGTCCAACTTTTCTAAGATCACCCTTCTTCTCCTCCTACTTGGGTTGCGTGCCACTAGACTTGCCTCCAGTTTGCTTGGCATCTCCCTTTGTCTTGTTTCTCTTCTTCTGCTTGCCTTCAATGGCAATAGCATTCACGCTCGCCTCCACAATCGACTCAACCATGAGCAGCTTCA